CGGCGTAAGTGTCCGGCTTTGGTGGCGCTCGTCTGCCCTGCGGCCCCGGCGGGAGCTCGGGGGTGCCGGGGCGCGGGCAGGGGCGCTCCATGGCCGTGGGGGTGCCCAGCTGCTCGTCCAGTGACTCGAGGAACGCAAAGCTCCTGCAATGGCGCTTGTTGAAGGGCTGCGGCTCGTGGGGCAGGGACGAGGACATGGAGGCATCACATTGTGCCAGGGGCTGGCAGACGATCAAATCCCCAGGGGCTGCAGTGCCCACCTTTATGTCTTGGTACACCGTAGACACCAGGATGTCAGGTGGGTCCGTTCGTGTCATCTTAAAAGCGACTCTTCTCCTGCCAGCTCCCCTTCAGACGGCCTCAGAAGAAGGCAGCCAGCCCTGCAAGAGAAGAGATGAGGCACCTAAATCCTGGCGGGGACCTCGGGGAGCCACAACGGCACTGGATAAATTCTCCCAGCTTGGGGGGGGTGGGGTGTGGGGTGTGTGTTGGCCACCTCTTCAGAAATGGGGGTTCAGGGTCATCCCAGCCTCCACTGCTGCTAATAGTCAGATCCCAACTGGGGGAAGATGCTGAAAAAAGGTTCCAAACTTGGGGTGCAAATAATGAAGCAGATGGCAGGGCACCCATGGGTGCCCCGAGCACCCAGGGCAGCTGGGGAGGGGTGCCACCTCACCACAGCGAGAGGAGGCCACCGACAGCCATGCCCCTGTTCCTGGAGTGCAGGACGTGGGGACCCTCCTGCACCATCACGGGAAATGGCAGCTCTGAATGGGACTGGGGGGGAGGACTCAACACCAGGGTTTTCCATAACAGATGGGGAACATGTGCCCGGCCTCCCCGCTGCGAGCATCCGACTGCCTGCGGGGTCTCCTGGGACCATGCACGCCCACATCCCAGCACACACTGCATCCAGCACCAGCATCGTAGGTAGCACAGGCAGGAGTGTCATCCAGGGATGGGTACTGTGAGCACACACCGTGGTGGCCAGGAAGACCACACAGCTCTGGGGCTCTGGGGGGGCAGGACCCATACCCTCTCCCCATGGCGGCTGCACCCACTGTGGCCCACAAACACTCCTGTGGGGTGCCAACAGCTCAGGGCTCCTCTGGACTGGCACAGGCGGCACCAGGGGCTGGCAGAGGGGTGCTGTGTGAGTGCCCTAGCCCTGTGTGCCAGTAGCAACTCCTCCATCACTTCCCATGGCTCTGAGCAGGACAGACCAGGGTCCCTCCGCAATGACCCCGTGCTGGAGGGGCTGTGCTGGCTCAGTGCCTGCCGACTTCGTCCTCTGACATGTCTCCTGGGCCGGTGAGCGAACAGGACAGCAGCTGCAACTCCCATGGGACACAGGGGAACCCACTTGTGCACCCAGTGCTGTGCACCTCACCTGCTCTGGGATGCTGCTGCCCGGGTGGCCAGGGTGGGCAGAGTCCCCAGCCACATGTGTGACACAGCTGTGTGACAAGGGGGGACATCAGCACAAGCCCCCAGAGTGACTGCAAGGAGCAGACGAGGTGGTTTGCCTGCAGGATCTGGTGGGTTGTGGCACTGATCTTCACTGACAGCCCATCGAGAGCTGGCTGCAGGCTGCTGTTAGCACCAAGCAGACATTCAGCTGGCTTTGCCCACAGTGGGGACACCTGGCTGGCTTTAATGCTCCTCACATCCTATGAGGTTTTTAGTTTTTTGGCCACTTGGCCGAGGGGCCTGGGAGCGCAGGTGGGTGCCAGCTGCTCCGTGGAACAGTAAAGGTGTGTGGCAAAGGCCAGGAAAAAGCATTTGGCTTTGAACAGCAGCAGAGGACCATGGAGAATGTGTTGCTGGGAGAACAGGAACAGACTTTATTTGGCGAGAAGCAGTATCAACTACATAGAGATGGACGAGGCGGGGCTTGGGTCCCCCCCGTTACCCAGATAAAGCCCTGTCTCACCCCGAAGCTGGAGGGGATGGGTGCTGGACCTGAGGTGAAGCCAGAAGGTTGGGGGTGTTTGTCCCCAACGGGGCTGTGGAGCCCAGTGGCCAGGGAGAGGTAGATGCCGGGAGGAGATGGGGATCCCACTGCCCCAGGGGCAGGGGGGGGGGGTTTGCACCCATAGCAGTGGCTCAGCATTGCCCCTGCTGCGTTACAACGCTTGGGAGCTGGGCCAGATCTGTGAGGGCAGCACCGCACGCCGCAGCGATGCCAACAGCGGCGTTAGGAAGTCTGTCACTGTGGCGTCGGGGCAGCTGCTGGGCAGGGAACTGCAGCCCAGGCTCCTACCTGGTCCAGCGGCAGCAGGGAGGGGGTGGGTGGGCTGAGCTGGCCGAGGGCCCCACCACGGCTCCATCCCAGCGCTGCAAAATAAAAGAGGCATGTGAGGAAACCCCGG